CATTTACTATCTGTTCAAGTTACTGTGCTCCTTCACTTTTCCCATTCTGTTTTTTTCTGGAATTCCTGTCAGCAAATTTTGGAGCTTTTCCACTTAAATTCCATGTGTTTGTACTACTCTTTGACAGTTTCTCTTTGCCTCTCTGTGCTGTGCTCTGAATATTCTGTAAACTATTCTGTATTGTCCTACCATTTACTAATTCTCTCTTCACCAGTGGTAAGTCTATAGTTTATTGCCTATATTGAGTTTATAAATACTTCAATTACTATATATATGTATATATATATTTTTTAATTAATTAACAAATTAGACGAGGGAGAGAGAGAGAGGGAGAGGGAGAAAGTGAGAAAGCAAGCCACCAAGTCTGGGACTCGAACTGTGGTCGACTATGTGAGAGTACCTGCTGGCCCTTGATAACTATATTTTTATTTCTTGTTTTCAAATTGTTCTTTTACCATCTGGACTTGTTTAAGTGCTGCCTGTATGTTTCATAATTTTTATTCTGCGCTATGTGTATATTATTAATTCCCTATCTTTTTGGCAATCTTAAGTATTTAATGTAAAGAATTTCTACATTTTTAATATTTTAATATTCTCTGGTGTAAATTTATCTTCCAATTGTTTGTTTCTTGGTTACTTTTGTTTACTTAGGTTTTTTTCCAAGCATTTTATGTTAGATCTCAGAGTCATTATGAGGGGAGATTCTCTTTTTTCCTGCCTCCCTTCCTATCTTGTTACTTTCTGTCTGAGCAGCTCCTTGTCTAGTCTCTTACATTTTCCTGGAGTCCCAACCTCAAACTGAGTCTCATGTTTGCAGTTTAGGAATGTGTCTATTGGTGATATTGAGGCTAATTCAGACCCAGTTGAGACCCCAGTGGTACCATAGTTCAATTCTTGGTCATGAAGCTGTGCCTGTGTTTTCTCGCTTCCATGAACCTGCTCTGTATAAACTGTTGTTGCACACAGTGACAGGTAGTGGTTTTATTTATTTATTTTTTAGTTTTTTTGCCATAGGGTGCATGTGCTCACCAAAGAGAGAAAGTGAGAAATCAGCCCTCGCAGGGGGGATGGTCACACTGCAGTCTCTTCTCTTTCATTCTCCCTCTGGAATCCTGGGCATACATACACATACATGCACCTGGCATGATTCTCAAGTTGCCAGGTCCGAGACTTGAACCACTGTCGGGCATGTGAGAGTCCAGTGCCTTTACCACCATGCCACCTGCTGGCTCCCTATGCGGCAGCATTCTTCATTCTCTTTAATGAAGAGAGCTGCATTCCAGGCCCTCAGTTCTAGAGTGACTCTGGGTCTAGTTCTTGCTACAGGTGGAGAACTTTTTGGTCACTGCTAATCTGCAGGAGCTGAACTCATAGCCACCTTTTCCTGCTTAAACTTGGAATCCAGCAGGCCCTCAGCTTCAACCTAACTCACAGCTTTTGTTACTATTACTATTTTTCTTTTCCATGGGTGACCCGTGGAGATATTTATTGTTGTTTGCACCATTATATGTCTTTTTAATTTTCTCCTTTTTGCATTTTTCCAGTTTTTGCTATATGTTTGCTGTTTATAGGTCACCTCAAGCATGGACTTGTAATATATTGGGCAGAAGTCCTACTAATCTCTAGAGGTCACAGAAAAAATTCAGTCAACTTCTTTTTTTCTTCTTTAGAGAGAGATTTTTGCTATAGGGTGTGTGTGCTTGCTGGAAAGACAGAGAGAAAGAGAAAGCAAGAAATCATCCTTCGGGGGGATGGCCACTCTGCAATCCCTTCTCTAGTCTCCTGTCAGGATTTTGGGCATGCACATATGTGCGCCTGGTGAGAGGTTCAAGCTGCCAGGTCCAGGACTTGAGCTGTGGTCAGCCATGTGGGAGTCCAGTGATGTAACCATTGCTTCATCTGCTGGTCACAAGTACTTCATTTTTAAAAAAGTTATTTACTTAATTTTATTTATTATTATTTAATTTGACCAGAGAGAGAGAGAGAGAGAGAGAAGGAAAGTGAGAAAGCAAGCCGCCAGGTCTGAGACTCGAACTGTGGTAGGCCATGTGGGAGTCCAGCGCTCAACCATCATGCCACCTGCTGGCTCAGTCTACTTTATTTTTATTAGGAAAGTAAACATGTGGTCCAAGCGGAGGACTCTGGGAAAGGTTTTCAAATCTCTCTTTTTCTTCTCCTACTTCTTTCTTTTCCCATCTCTCCCATTTGTGACTTTCTTTTCTCTTTTCTCCTCCCTGCATTTACTTTCCTCTTTCCATTTCCGTGTTCTCCTTCCTCCTCCTTCCCTTCCTTTTCTTCCTTTTTATTTCCTTTCTAGGACTCTTAAAAAAACCTCTGGTTGGGTTTAGTATCTTCTCATCTGTCATCCTCAGTCTTTTCATGCCAGGGAGCAGGAAGGAGTAAATGTGCCTCACATTTCCATGTGAAAGGTCCTGTTCAAAGAAGGGTCCTCACTGATGTTGTGGTCGGAAGGAGTGAGGGTCTCCAGACTCCCTTTAAGGAGAGAGAGTGAGGGAAGAAGCCGGTATCTTGCTTTGTTATAGGCCAAGCAAAGCATGGAGAGAGAGTTAATTTGATGTCTTTCACTTAATTTTCACAAAACTCCTGTGAAGTATGTACTGTTATGATTATTTCTTCATTTTACAGATGAGGCATCTTAGACTTAGAGGTTAAGTAATTTGCCTAAGCTGCTATGTGGTAGAATCGGGATCAAAGTTTAGCTAGGTCTGCTTCTTTCCTCTGTACCACAATATCATGAACATACGACCAGTAATTAAAAAGATGAGATCTTATGTTGGAAGTTTGAGAAGTAGGCAGGGGACTGCTCATGGGGATTCAGTGGGGTTAGGGTGGGCCACGGGGACTTGGAGCTTTGTCAAATCCCTTGAAATAGTACCACCAAGGCAGCCCCATGCTTTGTGTGGACCCAGCCTCCGTGGGTCATTTGGAGCCTGTACCACCTGTATTCCCAGGATAATTCCCGACCTGTCTATAGATTGTGTGCTCATTGTCCCTCACATAGAGGGCAAGGTCCTCTGGACATGTTCAGGATGACACATCTTGAGGAAGGTGCTGGGTTGTTTGTTCAGGGAAACTGTTATGCCCTTGGTTTCCTCTTCCCTGGCCCTCCCACCAGGACTCACACAAAACAGGATTTCGCTTTTGACTTTAATGCAGACAATAAACATCACGGAGACGTTTTAATGGTCACATACAGCCTAGGCCCCATTTATTTACCAGCAGCATTACAGATGGGGAAATTTTCTGTTCTTGTTTCCTTGCCCCACATTTCCCTTCCACTTAGGGCATTTGTCTATTGCCCTTCAGATCCAGTCACTGCCCTTTCAGTAAGTCTGCTATCTCATTCCCACCACTCAGGGTTACACTTCTTTATGAGTTCTATTGGGCCATTGGGAAAGTCATGATGCATTTTTGCTTAGAAAAATATAGAAAAATATAAATAAAATTCAATAAATAATTCTTTAAAAAAAAAGGGGACCAAGCAACCAGCAGGTGGCATGGTGGTTGCTTGCTTTCTCACTTTCCCTCTTTCTCATCACTCTCTGTGTGTCTCTCTCTGGTCAAATTAAAAAAAAAAAGAATAAATAAAATTTAATAAATAATTCTTTTAAAAAATATAGAAAAATATGTCATGACTTTTTCGATGACCCATATATTCCCTTTTTTCTTGCTCTGTTTTCCTATATCATTCCTTTTACTACTGTAAACCATGCCCTCTTCCTGCACTGGAATTAACTGGAATATTTTTTAAGTGCAGATCCTCAGGCCTCATTTCTAGACAGTCTGAATCCCTAAGTCTGATTGCCCGGAAATCTCTATTTGTAAACAAATCTTCATTCAAGTGTAAATGGGCAACTACCACACAAATATATACACATTTATACATGCATGTGTAATATATATAGGTATACATGTATAAATGTGTATATACACACACACCTGTATATGAGCTATTTAAAATAAAAAATTAAAATGTTTCTGTGTAACTTTTAAAGCTTCCAAAGAGTCTCTGATAGAGATGACATTTCAGAATCCTTAGGGCCAGCAATTGGCGTAATGGTTACATCACTGGACTCCCATGTAGTCAACCACAGTTCGAGTCCTGGACCCAGTGGCTTAAAACTCACACCAGGTGTGTATGTGTGCACAAAATCCCGAGAGGAGACTGGAGGAGAGGGGATTGCTGTGTCGCCATTTACTGTGGGGGGTGAATTTTTGCTTTCTGTCTCTGTCTCTCCAGCAAGCACATGTGCCCTATAGCAAAACGCTCTCTCTCAAACAAAGAATCCTCTTGTTAGGTTGTATTTATTTTTCTTTTCTCATTTATTTGTCTCCTTCCTCTCGCCTTCTCCTTATTGGCCTAACATCAATGACAGGAGGACTAATGGGAACCCGTGACTGACCTCCTGGGCTCTGAACCTGACCAAATGAAGCTCCTTGTTCTCCTCTAACTGACCCTTCCTTTCCCAAGGTAGAGTTCTGTCTGTGCGCAGGGGCAGCAGCTTCCCCCTGTCACTGCCTACTCTTCAGACTTTAGATCCAAGAGCTTTGTTTCTTCATGCTGAGATTTCACTGGAAGCGTGTCATGTCTTCCCTTCATTCTGGCTCCCGTTACTATCTTCCTACCCACTTGCCCTACTCTCCCTGTCTGCCACCCTCAGCCCTTGCTGCCTTGGATTAATAACCTGCAAGTGATGCCCAGCTGATGTTACCGGCCTGCCTCTTTTCGCATCCTTTTCAATATTAGTTAATGTTTAGCGAATATTTGTGGAGTGCCTATAGTATCCAGACCCTGTGTTAGGCATGACATTTTGATCCTACCCTATCCCAACTGGAAAAATGACGTTACCTTGTGTTTTAGACATCTACTTTCAGTCTCACAGTCTCCATTTTTTATTGCAGTGGTTTTTAGCCAGTCAGACTTTGAGGAAGGGGCTAAGCTGAAATCCAGGAAGAAGTCAATAACTGTCCTGTCCCCCTCAGTGGGGCATGTCCTGGATGAGCTGTCCCCAGAGCCTATGAAGAGCCCCCTTTACTTCTTGGTTCTTGAGGCTGTAGATGATGGGGTTGATCATAGGAGTGAGCACCGTGTAGAGCACAGAGAAGGACTTTCGGAGCAAGGGGGCTATGTGGTCTGTTGGAGCCACATAGACCGCGATGAGGGTGCCATAAAACACTCCAACCACGCTGAGGTGGGAGGAACAGGTGGAGAAGGCTTTCTGCCTCCCTTGACCTGAAGGTATTTGCAGCACAGTCCTCAGGATGAAGGCATAAGATGCCACGATCAACAGAAAGGGGGCCAAGGTCAGGAGGCCTGAGATGCTAACTCCAGCTCCCCACATGATCCCCACATCTCCACAAAACAGCCCTACAACTGGAGCAAAGTCACAGAAGTAGTGGTCGATCTCCTTGCTGCCAGGACAGAGGGACAGAGGAGCTGCCAGGGCCAGAGTGAAGGCAGAGAAGAAGAAGCCACTAAGCCAAGCACCAGTGGCCAGGCAGCTACAAAAGCAGGTGCTCATCAGGGCAGGGTAGTGAAGCGGGTGGCAGATGGCCAGGTAACGGTCATAGGACATGGCAGCGAGCAGAAGGCACTCAGCTGCCACCAATGAGGCAAACATGTAGAACTGGACCAGACAGCTGACTAGGGAAATGACTTCCCTCCCTTCCAGGAAACTTCGCAACAGCTGAGGTATGATGTTGGAGGTGTAACCAATCTCCAGCAGGGAGAAGTGGCAGAGGAAGAAGTACATGGGGGTGTGGAGCGTCCTACTGGAAACCACAGCCAGCAAGATGAGGGTGTTGCCCCCGACTGTCACCACATAGATGGCCAGAAAGAGGGCAAAGGGGAGAAAGCCCAAGTGCTGCAGCTCCCTGAAGCCCACTAGGATCAGCCAGGTGGTCTGGTTCTCACTGTCACCAGTAGACTGCTTCTTCATCTAGATCTGGGTCAGGGGAAGGAAAGAGGGTAACTAATGTTAACCAACACTCTATGCTTGGCTTACTATATCCCCCACAGAAACATTGGATAGGCTTTGTTGTCTCCTGTTTATAGAAGAGAAGCAGAGACCCAGTGAGTTTAAGTCAATTATTTGAGGTTACTATGCCGGAGCCATGATTTGAACCAAAGTTTGTTTAAATCCAATGCCCCTGCATAGCCTAGTGTTCTACAATGCTTTCTCAAACTCTTCCTGAGTGCTAGAAATGTCAGAATTAGAAAGCAGCATAGCACTCTTATAGTCATCAGGGGATAATTTAGTTGGTACTAAATTATATTATACTCCTCCTGGATGAGTACCAATAGGACAGCCATACCCGATGAACTCTTTCTAAAGCTTGGTATGATTGCCTTAGCTTCCAGGAAAGGAGGCCCTCCTCTGAGTTCATGCACATCTCTGAGGCGGCCACTCATTTCAGGATATTTTTCCTTTCCAAGAAAGCGCTGTTTGGAAATCTAGGTAGGCAATCTGTGTCATCTACTCTGTGAGAGATGCAATGTAGCACACTCTTAGTTCAGGCCCCACTTCCCTGGAAGGCCATTCTTTCTCTTTGAACTAGTGACCTGGTGACCATTGGTAAAACTATTTCTGAAATTTGCCCAGTCTCTTGTCAGTTTGTCCGAAGTTGGAGATGACTTATTGGTTCTCTTTTCTATATTCTCCTTATAGATCAAATGCCCAATTTACTTCACCTGTGTGTTTATTAGAAATTTCTACCTTGGAACAGATTTTATTCACTTAGTTACCACAGTGCTACCTTCACACCAACTGCACAGGAGGATTTTGATAAGTACTTGAAGAATGGATAAATAAATAAATTCATTACAATAATTTCCCATAGCAAACTGCCATTGGAAAATTGCAGCATCTGGAAATTAATACTCAAACCAGAAATGAGGCACTTAAATGACCACTGAAAGAGGAAATCTCCAGGTCTTCTCCTAACTGACTCAAAGCTTGAGATAGAACCATGATTAAGAATGAAGATGAAGGGCTGCTCCTATTGCCTAATGGTTGAGTGAACCTGATCCGACACAGCTGACTGCAGTTCAAATTCTAGCCCCTAGAGCTCGAAAAACATGCTGTGTGTGTGTGTGCATGCCCAAACTCTGAACAGAATAGAGAAATGGAGGAGAAGGTATTGCAGGGTGACCATTGCTCCACTCGGGGAGAGCCTTTTCTTTCTCTCTGTCTCCCTGGTGAGTGCACCCACCCCCTGGCAAATAAAAAAAAAATGAAGATGGAAGTCAAAGAGATATGTGTGTGACAGGAGGAAGAAACTAGAAAGCCTAACGTGTTATAGAGTTTTCTTATTTATTTTTTTGGAGAGGTTTTCACTATAGGGCGTGTGCGCTCGCCAGACAGACAGAGAGAGACAGAGACAGAAAGTGAGAAATCACCCCCCGGGGGGATGGTCACGCCGCAATCCCTTCTCCTCCATTCTCCTCTTGGGATTTTGGGCACGCACGCACACGCACCTGGCGTGAGTTTTAAGCCACTGGGTCTGGGATGCGAACCGCGGTTGACTATGTGGGAGTCCAGCGACATAGCCATTATGCTAACTGCTGGTCCCGAGTTTTCTTATTTTTGAAGTTAAAGACAACATTCCAGGGTCAGCTGGTGGCATAATGGTTAAGGTGACTGAATCCCATGTGGCCAACTGTGCAGTCTGAGTCCCAGACCCAGTGACTTGGAAGACATGCTGGGGCATGTGTGTGTGCATGTCCAAAATCCTGAGAGGAGAATGGAGGAGAAGGGATAGCAGCATGGCCATTCAACCTGGGGGGTGCTTTCTCAACTCCTCTCTCTCTCTGGAAAGTGCATGCACCCTAAACAAATTCCCAAAAACAAACAAACAAAAGACATAATGAGATTCCACATTAGCAGAGAACACAGGGCTTTTGTGCTTCTGCCCTAGTCCCACCTCTTTCTCTGGCTTTTGTCTTACGTTATATAGATATAGATTCTGTCATATGGAAATACAGACACAGGGGAAACGGAATGGTTTTACATGTATTTGCACATATTGGGTCATCAGGAAAGTCATAATGCATTTTTCCATAGAAAAACAGAAAAATACATCATAAAAGATACATCATGATTTTCCCAATGACCTAATATTTTGTCTTCAATATATTGGTAACTTCTTCCTTTTTTTTAAAGAATTATTTTATTTACCTTTACTTACTTACTTATTTGTTTTAATTTTATCAGAGAGGGACAGAGAGAAGTGAGAAAGCAAGCCACCAGGTCAAGGACTCGAACCATGATCAGCCATGACCACGGACCAAGGTCCAATGCCCTTAACCACTACACCACTTGCTGGCCCCTATACTGGCAACTTCTTAAAAAAAAAAAAAACCCAGGGAGAAATTTGAAATTGAGAGTGAAATTATATTCTAGGCTTAGCAGAGAGAAATGGAGCAAATGAGGAAACTAGTAAAACTAACCAAACTAACAAGTTAATCGACCTAAAACTTCTTAAATACAGAGTTTCTACCAATGCAATGATCAAAAAGTTACTATTGCTTTTGCTAACTAGTGAATTTGGCCTTGGTCTTCAGTAAAATTCTTAGATATTTTATAGAATAAAGTCTCCAAAGGGATCACTATGAATGTTATAATACTAATTAAAATGTGAAACCTCACAAATGTCCTTTATTGACGCTTTGAAAAATCGAATAGTTCAGAAAAAAAGTAGAACAATGACATATTAATTTTAATGAAGCTTCCTGGACATGGAAAAGATGATGACTACATGCTTAACGATATACTTGGCTTGCCTACCACACACCACAATGATTCATTAATGACTGAAAATCTGGAGAATGAAGTCTTGTGAAAATGAGCTGTAGTAAATCTTATCTTCACCTATTTTAGCAGTGACTTCAACAAGGTAGTAAATATGTATGGCTCATTAAACTTCTTAAATCAAGAGAGTGGTCATGGTGGAAAACTATGACTCCCCACCTGTGCTGGTCCCCTAGATGTGATTCTTAAGGGGCCCACTAGTGCCTTTTTAGAGCATTACTTTTTGGGTATAAAAATAAAGTAAGAGTCAGCAGGTGATTAAGGCGGGTGGGTAAGGGGCTGGACTCCCACATGACCGCCCGCAGTGTGAGTCCCAGAACTGGTGACTTGCTTTCTCACTTTCTCTCTCTCTGGTCAACTTAAAAAAAAAAGTTAAATAAATATTGGAAAAAATAAGGTGAAACTCAGGGGATAGGGTCAGGTGAAGGAAGGTGGAGTTTCTTCCTGGAGCCCCCAGAATGTTCCTCTTAGCAGGCAGAGAGAGGGCAGCGTGGACCCTGCTGTATTTTAGATACTCATATTTGTTGGAGAAGGGGGGCTGACCTACTTTGGGCTTGGCGTCAGTGTCTTCTTTCCTGTATGTCTTTCCCCTGGACGAAATTCCTTGCCCAGCTTACAGCTCTGAGGACTTTCTGTTTCTCTCCAGTGGCGCCTGCATGTTACTGCCTCCTTCAACACAAGGGTGGTCGCGGGAGACTGTTGTCCTTGTTCTGTACTGCCGCTATGGATGCTACAGCCTTTTCTAGAGCAGGATAGCCTCTTTTCCTTGTAAAAAAAAAGGAGAAAAGCCTCCTTGGAGAGAAGATGCAGCTTGGAAAAGCTGCATCTATATTTCGGTTCCAGGGGAATGCACTGGTCTATGAGGGACCACATCCAGGTGCTTCGCTCAAATCTAATGATCTTCTCCTTAGGAAATAGGAAAATACTGGCAAGACATAAGAATAGCCACAATGAAGCTGGTCTTTGTCTCATACTTTATGTTTTATAAAGCAACTATTAACTTCTTTAATAAATATTTAATTCTGAGAATGAACACAAAGTAAAATGGGAGCATGCTGTGATTTGTTCTTTCAGCATTGGGCTGAGCAATCAAGAATATAACCTCTTCGTGCTGGATTAACGGTCTTTCTATTCAGGATGGGCTAGGACCTAGGGTCCTGCTTTGATCTCTTGGAAGGGGAGGGGCAGAAAGAAAGTGCTGTGTAATTCTGTAGATAATTCATTTTGTTTAGTTTGATTGTTTTATATTACAGATTAACAGTTAATCAGGTCAGGTTCTTCAAGATAATGGAAGCACATAGTGAAATGCAACGGAATGACATATATGAATAAGAATCTCTGTGGTAGAAATTTAGCACCTAATTTCTTCCATATGGAAGCAGAGAGGAGATTTAGGCCAAGGAGGACAGGACAGGGTCTGGGTTGGGGCTGGTTTTTCCTAGGAACAGACTAGAATGGTCCTTCTTGGAAGAAACTGGACAAGTGTCCACCTTGGCAGAAGAGAGGCAGGGTAGAGAGCCTTGAATGAGGAAAAGGAGACCTGCAAAGAAATAATTAGCATATTTTCTTTGAGGGTGTCGCCAGGAATAAAATATGGAGATCCCGAACTTGGACTAGGTAAACAGCTTGAGGAAGATGCCAGGTGAGAGAGAGAAGCATAAAATTCTTTTCTAAGTAGAAAGAAGCCAGTGTTTATTGACTTAGAATTTATGATACAGATACCTGACTTGTGCTTAAAAGGTTGTTTAACTTTTAGCTCTCTTTCTGAGGTTTTAGGTGTAAATTTAAAGTAGAAATGAAGGGTCTATGTGTTGTTTTTTTAGCTGTCACATGTTTTTGAATTAAAATATATCATAACTTTAATTCAGGAAATATTTATTGAATGCTGGTGACCTTTCAGTCACTGTTCTAGACTCTAGGTATGCTGCAGCAAACAAAACAAAATAAGTTAGTAGATTTATGTGTTTACTGCTTAAGTCACCTTTGCCTGGACGATGGTGCCACATTTCCTTGATCAGATACCCCTTCCACCTAGAGATGGCTTTCTTAGAGTCAGGTATCCTGCCTGGGGAAAAATTCACCTTCATAGGACTATCTTTTTGTATTCTTCATCCCAATTCATTGATGGA